ACTAGACTCATCATTGATTTTTTTAACAGATTTCCAAAAGCAGCAAAAACTCAATTCGTTTAAAGTTTCATATTGTGTATAATAATCCACATCTAGTGTCGTCACGCTTTGCATATCCGGAGTTTGTCTCCTGTTGTCGGCGGGCACCTCGAGGGGAAAACCTCGAATTGCATCTCGGCCTACGCATATCGGTTACGTTGACAACTTATTTATAAGAAATACGTTACTGCGTCACCCATCCTACAATTCTGTTAATACTGTCCCTTAGGTTACGATTAGCGCCATGGGGAAAGGGATACAAAATCGCTATACGCCATTCATATCTTTGAAATGAAGACTGAATCTATAGCCAGATGATAAACGGTCCAGAGACAAAGCTTCTTATGAATGTTCAAATTGTTTATCTATGGTAGGGTTGTCACAATAGATTACGGCAAATTGAACGTAAAAGTTAAATAATTTTATTAGTCAAGTATAATAGAAAACCTAACAAATTACTTGCTCTTATTTGTTTATCTCTCTATTGTGTATTTCAATAGTGTAATGTTTTTTAGATTAAATTATACAAACGTCTAACGAAAAAAAAATGTGCGTCGCGTTATTTTCCACTGGCGATGGCTTTAACTGTTTTCCAGTATCGATGCGTTCGTCCTACTGGTTCGACCTCTGGAGTTCTACTGAACTCGCAAACAAATCCCTATGCTTGTCCTAGTTCAACCGTTTAGTTAGTTAAGTTTGTCTCCATACCGTTTATTCACTCATGGGATAAAGCTAAGCCAGTATGACTGATCGTGACGACATAAACAACCTGATTACAACACACTCAAGATACTGCCTACCATAACACACAATAATCAATCAAATAGTAGTCATTTATCATCGCAAAAAACATGACCGTGTACCAACAAACCTTGAGTTCTACGGTAATTATTAAATACCGAGCATTTAATTTGTTCTCTGTTAATTCTCACGTTTATTTACTTTTAATATTACTATGAAAATTGTAATACCATCAATGAAGTTCGGAGTTCAAATTTACTCAAGGTTTAATAACACCAATTCTTAATATTTAATACAGCATTTCAAAACATCACTGTTTATACAGTCATTTAAACTGATACTTTCTTATCGAAGAATATCTTTCCATAGATTTCATTTGTCCTCATTCAATCTCAATTATATTTTGTTATTCAAAGCAGTACCTTTCATGTTCTTAGAAGTAATGAAGAAATTTGAATCTGTGACCGATTACTGGTAAAGAAGCTACTTGTCTTTACTGAGATTAAAATATAGTTAATCTTTGAATCCCTTTGTGTACTTATTATTACGCGGTAAAGATAATTACGAATAAAACAAATTAGTAAAGGTCAATACTGGTGATCTAGAGACTATTTAATAATTGCTTTAAGTTGATGCAATAGTCCAATTGGATTTCGTCTTAATATTGACACTTTTTGATCTCTTTACATAGTGAAATACAACATTTCAACTGCAGAATATATGTAAACAACTTGCTTTTGTTACAAAAAAAACATAAATTCCCACCAAAGACTATGAAAACACTGTAAAGTTGAATTTTGTCTTTACCCGAAAGTAAGACTTGGCAATAAAATCTATTTCATAAAAAAAAAACAGGTATAACTCGTACGCTCAGCAGACCCACTGAAAGTACATAGTTAATAGGGGTACACAAAAAGACCTTTATTAAGATTACTCAAACTAAACTAACGGGCTCTCACAGTCATACTCTAATGTAGGTAGACTCTAAATATACTTAAGATATGGCAGATAGTGTCTTAGCTTTCACCTTGACTTTGACGTTTTATAATCTGTCATTACAACGCCACACCCCCACAACTATATACCCGACTTAATTTATAAGTAACTAGCTGTTCCCTTGCGACTTCATCCGCATAAAATTATTAAAAATTTATATTATCGTTTACATGTGTCAAATTATCAATTGCAAATGTCAAATTGACATGGCCATGGCAACCTTGCTTCGTTGATGTTGGCAGCAACTTATAGACTCTTTCCCACATTAGGATTTTTATCCAAAAAATTAACCCCTTAAGTTTAATGGCGTGAAAATATGTAGCCTAAAGCGTGACGTAAGTGTAGGGCTTTGTATTAAAAAATAAATTATTCAAAAATATGCTGTAATAGCCGACATGTTAGGCAACAAAAATGTGCGTGTTTACGCTTTATTATAATAGTATAGATAGTATGGATCAATATCACAACGTATCTCAACTATGCGCACTTTATCTAGTATCAAATTAAAACAGTCACAAGAGTGGTAGTCCTTGCGAAGGTTAATCGATTCGTTTTAATGCAGTTTTGTACCGCGAGAAACTATGTTCAGGTTTTAAATCTAGTATTACGTTAACTTTACACCTTGGTTCATTTGAAAGTCTACATTGAAAACAATAGATACTTCGCACATTTTGTGCGATAAATTAACCAAACTCTAGTAGCAAAATAATAAGGAATAAAAAAAACAAGAACAATATTTTTTTAAATAACCATATTTAGTTTTTTTTTTTAAGTTATCTCTTCTTAAGCTATCATAATAAGTATTAAAAGGGTTTAAAAATATTGTTTGCAATATTTATTTGTTACCTACGACATAAGTTCCGGTTAAGCTTCTGACCCAATTAACCTTGAATAATGTAATAAAGTTACTGTGCGTGCTACTTGATAAACGAACTTGGTAATAAGTTGCATTGGTATGTCTACTGCACGTCTATTTCATTCTAAAATGGTTACAAGTACAAATAAGTACGTACTCATTATTCAAGGTACTTTTTTGTACTTATGACGAAACTAGCTTTATAATTTACAATTCTATAGACAAAGGTCATTGCACTCAATGCTGTGTATACAAACAACCATAACATGATTGATTATGAACAATATTTCCTTATCTTTGAAGTTTACAAATACGTTAGAAAATTCATATTCTTACGTTCAAGAAATAAAAGAATAACGACAGACGATAGACTATTATACACGGGTACCTAACTATTAATATTAGATTTTTTTATTATTTCCATGACTAACTAATATTATTAATTAATAATACAAGATCTGAAGAGGTTTGTCCAGAAGAACTTCTTATAGATAGATAATGAAACTAATGGGCTGTTTGTTTCATGTAGATTTTAGATTGCTTGTGTCTAAATCTAAGGCTTAATAATTACGTACGCAGGATCTTTGTTTTTTCGCAAAGTAGGTGTATATGTTGCAGTGTGTTAAAATCAAAAGAGATCTTCACTTCATCTTCACCAGCTCACTATACGTCCCCACGAGGGGCTCGGAGCCTACCCTAATATGGGGTGACTAGGCCATAGTCAACCACGCTGGCCAAGTGCGGTTTGGTTGACTTCACACATATCTTTAAATTTCTTCGCTGATATGTGCAGGTTGCATCACGATGTTTTCCTTCACCGTAAAAACGTCGGGTAAATTATGTACATATGAAAATTCGAAAAATCGAAAATCACATTGGTACATGGCGGGATTCGAACCCAAGACCTGTAGATTACAAGTCAAGTGTTCAAGCCACTGAGCCACCGACGCCCCGAAACAGATCATTTAATTGTAATTATTTCAACCATATTAATTATACAGCAAATTTTACAATACGTTAACTATTCACAAGCGCATTTACTTACGCAGTCAAAAAAAAGTAAAGCGCATGTGCCAATCCTTGTTTTATCTTTCGTAGAATTTTTAATTGGTTTATAAACAACCTTCACCGTTGACAAAACTTCCGCCCTTCACTTAATAAACAGTATTTGTCACTAAATTTGCTTAAGATAGGATAACACATTTCATGTAGGTACACCACGCATTTTACACATTGGTAGAAGATGGTTAGAACACGTAGTACAGGGAAAACCCAAATCGAGTTATACCAGCTTGATTTTAATTTAAATAATACCACACTTGTATAAAAAGCGTAATAGGTTCTGTATATGCAAATATTACTTATGAGATTAGTCAATAAGAACAATTTAAAAAGACAATGGATTACCTAACTTTAATGAACTGTGAATGGTACTTAATGTTTTTTTTTAAATATTTCTTTATCAGACAAAGATTTATTTAATTGGACAATAAAATTCACATCTACTTAATTATCCACGTTTAGTTTATTGCTTTACATCAGTATAATTAAAAATGAAGTTTACTTTTAATTTGGTACTATAGAAAGAGTATAATAAAATTATAATTAATCCAAATTACGTAACTTTTGTGTTGTTACAATTTATAAATCAACCGGATTCGATAAATGTAACACAGGACAAGATTATGCTTTCACAGAGATCTCGTAATGCAATTTAAAATACGACAACTATAATTAATCTACAAAATATGTATTTTCTCTCGTAATTACAATCACATTGACGCGTGTAATCCTACTGGATTTTATGGCATTTTTTTCTACTGAAAAAAATGCCATAAAATCGTCGGTATTTTTAATAAGGGACCTTATTGTTAGATATTTCCACAAATGAATTTCTTTAAAATATAGACAGACGGCCATATTAACAATACTTGTAAATTACTTTAAAACACACAAACTAACTCCAACGTGACAACGCAATTATATGGAACGTTTTTGGAGCTCTTACGGAAATTAATTGAATGTAAACCACTTAAAACGTATGCTACAACTAATGTGCTAACATTTTACATCTAAATTACTAATAGGAAATATTAATTTAAAGAGTCACTGCGGATCGGATATTAATGTATCAGGCGCGAAGCTGAGTAAAAAATTGTTACTTTCTTATCACTTTTGTGAAGGACAGTTATTTTTAAATCCTAATATTTGTATACTATTTATTATTGTTTTACTTTCGTTAGCCATAGTATTATTAATTTTTAATTTTAAACCTTAATATACTGCTGTTTTATTTCATTGTAAATGTTACGGCTGCGTTCGATTAAAACTGCTTATAATCATTTTTGACAGTTGAGTTGACAATGTCATTGTCATTGTTTATTTGTCACAGGACAAAATTTCAATCGTTTCCAGTATTTTCCTTGAGATTTAAATTAAAAAAAACCTTTTAAACAGGTCTTTTGGGGATAAATTATCAACACTACCGTGCTTTACACAATTCTGTGGTTTCAGCGCTTAATATAGCCCTACAACTATTTCATGTTGTACAAGATCGATTTTCTGGGATGTGATATTTAATTATTGAATAAGAAAAATGAATTTCCTTCTTGGAATCAGTCTTTATACCTGCCTTATAGTAGGATGTTGCGCCTCAGGAGAAGATATAGCTCTCGATGCGAAGGCTACATTATTACATCGTATAGACAGTTTAAACCTACTTATTTATACTTGTCTTCTTACACTTACTGTCCTCACTATTTGGGTATTTAAACACCGCCGCGTGAGCTGGCTGCACGAAACTGGTCTTGCTGTTATATATGGTAAGTTGAAATATCATGAAAATATAGTGTTTTTATAGAAAATATAGTATATTAAACCAAGCTGTGTGGCGCCTACATGAAGACAATTATGTTCTCATGACTCTCTATTTCACTTAAGGGACATATGACACTTAATTAATTCATTGTTATATTATGTAAAAATATGTTTTAGGTCTCATTGTTGGTGCAATAATTCGCTATGGTGCCAGCACAAACCAAGTCACATACATTGATGCGTTGCCTGAGGCAGACTCTACCTACAATTTGTCTGTGCCACCAGATATGTTACGTTTTCATTTTCCTAATAAAATGCAAACATCTGCAGAAGGTAATTTCTTGTGAAATTATGCGATAATAGCAAAGTATTATGTTACTTTACAAAAACTTACACCAATAAACTGCTCAGCTTTGTTTTGACTCCTTAACTTCATTGTATAGAATATGTCTTTTATGTAACAAAGACATACAGTTACATTTAAAACTTAGTTATGCTTAGAGTTTTATGTCACATTTTACACTTGTGTGGATTACAAAATAATAGTTGACAAAAAAAGTGATATATCAGAGATGAATGTAGTTCAAAGTTGTTATTGTTTTTAATTGTAAATCTGTGTGTAGGCAAAACTATAATTGTACAGAGCTTAATATTTATTGATTCTTAAATGATATAGCAATGTGTGTAATATTTCAGGTATCACTGTGCCAAATAAAACTTATGCATACATCTTCAGAGGTGAAATAGTGAACATGGCGCAAAATGAAATTGATTTGAAAGCCACATTTGATCCGGAGATATTTTTCAACATAATTCTACCTCCTATTATATTTCATGCTGGGTACTGTCTAAAGAGGGTAAGTTATTTTTATTTCTAAAACTAAGCATTTTACATTATTTTGTCATTTTTTTTACTACATTTACATTTAAAAAATGTTATTTTGATCTTTTCCACATATTACTCAAGACTACATGATTTGATGTTTACATATTTAAGCTAATGTAATTTCAATGACATAGTTTCATGTCTGTAGTCAAAATCTGTTTAAACCTACTATTTACAATGACTCATATAGACAAACATTACTCAATTCTTAGCAAAGGTTAAGATATGTTACATTTACATGATGTTTAGGTAAACCAGAACTTAAAAAAAGTAAGGTTTTAGTAGACATACAAAAGTAACTAAAGCCTTAGTCAGTTTATGTCTCTTAAATGAATAAATGTACAACTAGCATTTTTCTAATTAAATTACAGGTTAAGAACCTTTAAATTTATTCACTTTAATGTATTTATATGTGATTTTTAAATTAAATTATCTATAATTAAAATGTTATCTCCACTATTTGTATATCATATAATAAGAATTCTTTGTTTACAATGTTGTTATCAGCCAGTTGTTAATACTTTTATTGTTAATATGTTATCTGTAATCCACATCAAAAGTCTTATTAGAAACATTACACTGAATTTTTTTTTATTTCCAATCTATTACTTGGGAAACGTTTTATGTCACTTTTACATTCATATAGTCTACATTAGAATAATGTGATCACAAAGTAGGTATTTAAGTCTAGATTGCTCCGATAGAAAGTCAACCTTTTGGTTACAAAAATATAGTTTGATTTTAAATAATCTATACTTCACATTTTGTTTATGAAACAATTGCAGATGTAGTTCTATATATTATTTTAGATGTAAGATAGCAAAGAACCCAAGATTACTTAAGACTAAAAAAAACATAGATAGTTTCTTAACACAGAGGTATTTTACAGAAATATTTCTTCCGTAACCTGGGTGCGATATTAACGTTCGCGATGGTGGGCACGGCGCTCTCTGCGCTTGTTATCGGTTCTCTGATGTACGGCTGTGTGCAGCTCATGCCCAAGTCACTGGCTGCAAGCTTCACTTTCCTTGATACTCTATACTTTGGTGCTTTGATATCACCCACTGATCCACTCACTGTGCTCGCTATATTCTCACAACTAAAGGTATTTATATACTTGAAATATTTATTATAATATATTGATTGTATATGATAATGTTTTTAGTAACTTTGTTAGTTAAAAATTCAAATGAACAATTAAAATTTTATATTAAAATCTGCTAGTTAAATATATTCTTTAGTTGTCAAACTGTAATTGAAGAATCATTTAAGTATTGTATGGCTATCTACAAGATGACCGAAAGGACATTCAATGCGTCAGAAAAATAACTTACATGTATGTCTGAAGCTTGCTTTGATTTGTGATTTAAATGTTTCAAATACATATTGTTAATCAATTTCCAGGTCGACGTTAATTTGTATGCTATGATATTCGGAGAGAGTGTCCTCAATGATGCAGTGGCTCTAGTACTCAGCGGGTAAGATACTTTTATATACACATTTCATTGACAGATTTTATTTATTGTTTATGAATTTATTTAGGAATGTTTCAGTTTAAATTGCTGATAAAAATGTGGGTTTTTAAATTTGTTATATTCTTATTTTCATTTTAAACCCAATACAATATTTACTTTACATTTAATTTATCCTCATATTGCAAGGTACTAGTGAAAACAACATTTTTAATTACAGTTATTATCCTCATACGATAAATTATACTAACGTAAGCACATAAGTTACGTGTTTTCTGATAATACCTAGAATTTAAACGACAAATATAAACATGCATGTGAACAATTTACATTACTATTGAGTCATTTACGGCGATTTCTTTTTATCGTTGACAATGCAACCATGCTATAACATCACGAGTACTAGATTCAAGGTTTATAATGTTTGATTTAAACAACATAAATTTATCTATTTTCTCAGTGTTAGTATAAAATACAGTACAAAGATTCGATTGCAATTTTGAAATCGAGAACCACATTTCAAATTGCATAATATTACTATGTTTTATTGATTTTTTTTCTTATTTGTATTACCTTTTTAACTTTTAAGTTGAGTGGTTCTGTATTTATTATAATTCCAGAGCCATTCAGAATTACGAGAAGAGGTATTCAAATGACGGTGGCTTCGAGATCACCGCATTCCTCGGAGCGATCGGAGACTTCATCGGGATATTCAGTCTGTCTCTGCTCATCGGCGCACTGATGGGCTGCCTTACTGCATTGATATCCTTTTTTATTAACAATTCTTACTAATATTATAAATGCGAATGTTTGGATGGATGTTTGTAGCCATAAAGGTTGAAAGGATCTCGATTAAAATTTTGCATAGATGTAGAACATAGTCTGGAAGGACATATATACTACTTACTTTTGTTTTTTTTTCTTATTTCAAGCGGACAAAGTCGCTGTCGAAAGCTAATTAGTACGGAAATACCAGCAGATCTCTATATTAAATTGATTCGTGAACATTATTTGCGTTAACACTAATAAAGTTTTTTTTTTATTCCGTCCGTCGGTCCGCAAAGTTGCGTTTGTTCCATGTTACCTCCAATTTTGCCATATAAGAATGGTTGTAATAATTGCATGATTTTTCCATGTATATATGTATTTCGTGATGTGTGAAACGTAAGTTTATTTTCCTGAGCGCCATGCACATGACGAAGTTCACTCACGTGCGCGACTGGCCGCTGCTGGAGTCCGCGCTCTTCGTGCTCATGTCCTACGCCGCCTTCCTCATCGCTGAAGTCTGCGAGCTCACTGGTAATACTACTACTACTACTTTTACAATTAATCTGATGTTATTTCTTGCTGCGCTGATCTCATTTTGTGACAGATGTAGAACTTGGACTGTTTTTTAATTCCATGGGGACGGAGTCGCGGGTGAAAACTATATAAATGTGAAAGTTTAGATGGATGGATGTTTTGTAGAGTTTATAAACTAAGCAACTTAACGGATCTCCAAGAAATTTGGCACGGCTGTAGTCTGAAGAACTCTTATACTTACTTTTTTTACTTCCACACAGACGGAGCCGCAAGCAACAGTATCTTGTAATGCGAAAATTTAGTTTTTTTTTAATATTAATTTCTTTGTTAGAGTTTGTTGCTTAAACAGCTGAACGAATCTTTGGTACAAATGTAGAACGTATTCTGGAAGAAAACATAGACTATTTACTTTTTTTTTTAATTTGATGCGGACGGAATCATGGCGAATATTTACCATTCGGCAATTACCAATTTAAATGTTATATTTATCCAATATGTATATTGACAGGTGTAGTGGCGGTGTTGTTCTGCGGCATTTGCCAGGCGCACTACACATACAACAACCTGTCGGCGGACTCGCGCAACCGCACCAAGCAACTCTTCGAGCTGCTCAACTTCCTCGCGGAGAACTTCATCTTCACGTACATCGGCGTCTCCATGTTCACCTTCCCCAAGCACCACTTCGATCCTTGGTTCATCATCGCTGGATTTGTATCCTTTGAACTATCGCATAAGATTTTTTTTTAAATTAGCTAAGTAAGGCTCTCGCTATCAGGAATAAAGCTATATCACACTTTGTACTAATATTATAAAGAGGAAATATTTGTATTTATAAAATACTGGGACGATTTTAAAAATTCTTTCACCATTAAAAAGCTACGTTATCAGTGAGTAATATAGGCTAGTATTTTTATTATTTTAAAATTTCACGTAGACAGTCACGAGCAACAAGTACTAACATAAATGGTAAAGTTTAGATGAATGAATGTTTGTGTCACATTAATGTTTCTACATTGTTCTCTAGACTTTATTCTCCTAGGCTATGTTCTTATAGTCCAGACTATGTTCTTATAGTTCAAACTATGTTCTGATAGTCCAAACTATATTCTCATAATTCTTACCATGTTCACATAGTTTGGAAGAATACGTAATCTACCTATTTTTTTATTCCGCGTTGATGTAGTCGCGAACGAAAGCAATTCGCTAAATATATCCTTAATTAGACAAAAAACAGATAACATCAACCCTGGGGCGAGCTGTGAACATCTACCCGCTGTCGTTCCTGCTGAACCTCGGCCGCAAGCCGCCCATACCTGTCAACTTCCAACATATGTTGTTTTTCTCAGGTATGTCCACTCATTATATCAATGCTGTTTTTTTGATAATAGATAATTTCTTAACATAGATAATTCGTGATTTCATTATATAATTACATTATATTCTGACTGTGTCTTATATTTTCAATTAATACTTTGCAGAAAATAAGGAAATAATAAGATGCTATTTTTAAAAAACTTGACGACTTTATGTAATTGGCGCGTAGCGCATTACTTTCCCCCGCATTAAAAATTGTCTTCTGCGACACAACTCGCAACAAACAATTATAAAAAAACTATATTTCGCCCGCGTCTCCGTCCGCGTGGAATTAAAAAAAAAACAAAACTGAGTAGCCTGTGTGTTCTTCCAGACTATCCTCTAAGTCTATGCCAAATTTCATCGAAATCCGTTCAGCCATTTAGACTATAAACTCTCATCATCACCAACGTCATCCATCCATCCATCTAAACTTTCGCATTCATAATATTAGTATGATGTGTACAATGACTGGTTAGTCCGGCCAGGTTTGAGTCGCATATAATGTCTTATCTCGGTTGATTTGCATAGGTCTGCGCGGCGCTATGTCGTTCGCGCTGGCGATCCGCAACACGGTGTCGGAGGCGCGGCAGGCCATGCTCACCACCACCTCGCTCATCGTCATCGCCACCGTGGTGCTGCAGGGCGGCGCCGCCTCGCACGCGCTCGCCTACCTGCGCATACCCACCGGGTCGGTGAACACATACCTACTCTGCTCACCCTTATCTTCATTTTGTGTTCATTGTGTACTATACCATACGTATAACTATATAAAATGTACGATCAGTATAAAATAACTAATTTTTGCCTGCGACTCCGTCCGTGTAGAATTAAAAAAAAAATGTGTAGCCTATGTGTTCTTCCACTGTCCTCTACATCTATGCCAAGATTTATCGAAATCTGTTAAGCCGTTTAAGTTAGAAACTCTAACAAACATCCATCCATCCATCCATCTAAACGTTGTCATTTGTAATATTAGTATGATTAGCTTTATTATTTTTGTTCTTTTTAAGAAAAGGAATCTTGTCATGATAAG